ACGTCACGTTTAATCGAATAGGCCTTCTATCTCGGTGATGTTGAATTAACGGCAATACTGTGGAAAAATTGCATAAACGCCCCCTCGGCGTTTACCCTTTGGGGGACGCCTCGGGTACCGGTGAATAAACCCAGCCCGCTCCGGAAGTAGCGATACTATCTGGATAACGGCTCTGAATAGGAAAATTGTGGAGTCGGGTACGTTATATTTATTTTCGCTCAAAAATCCTTTGGTTAGGTATGAATCTATCAACCTTTTCTCCCCACCAACTATGGGTTAATTAGTAAAACTTGTATCATTATTATCTCAAAAGAAAAAAAACTTCTTACAATCTAAAAATATTTTTAAAATTAAGGTTGACAAGCCGTAAAAAATCAATCAATTAATGAACGTAGGACCTTATTTCTTGTTGCCTCAAGTCTCTTCTTCATATTTGAGGAAGCATTCAATGCCATAGAGGAGGACTGATATCATATAACATTTCTGTATTCTTTTCTTTGTTTCTAAGGAAATTTTCTTTATTTCTTAATAATTTGCTTAGCTTTTTGAAGACATTTTTCGCTATACCAATACACCCCTGGATTTCAGTCAGTTATGTGTCATACGTGATACACGCTTAGGCGATCATGTATCTTTCAATACATAACTGACGAGACAGATTTTTTCCCACAGTAGATCACCATTTCAATACATCAGTTGCCATACAAGGCTATAGAACCCAGTCTGTCCTGCTATCTACCCATAGCTTGCGGGAGAAAATGATTCATACCTTTCCCATGTAAGTTAATATAATGGATTCGACTGGAATTCGAACTCGGCTCCTTGATTCCTCAATCCAAGCCCTTATCCATTACTCCGCCGTGCCTCCAGATTTAAGTGTCACATTTTCCGTCCTCTGTTAAAACGATATTTAAATTTTAATACTTGCTTGATTTTGTTGTCTTCGATTCGATTCTTGGGCTGTTTCACTTGCTGAAAACCTTGCATTCTGTCTTCTTACAATTGACGGTTAGTCCTTTCTTCCTGCTTTCCTTTACTGCCTTCTATGGGGGTTCCTGCAGTTTCCTTTCTGTTTCTACATATCGTATACTGTTAAGATTGCGTCCGCCAATAATCAATCCCGGTAGACTTCTCGTTCTCACAAGATCGCCTGGCTACAAAGGTTGAATAAGTCCAGTGAGACGACACATCATTGTCTTTCTTTTTTTTCTATATTTACAGAATTCATTTCTTCACACCGGATTTATTGAACCATTATAGCGAAGCGACCGTGAGAGAACTTGAATTGGCCCTGAAATAAGTCAATTATTCTATTTATCTGGACGTATGATTTAGGATACATATATATAATAGAGGTAATAAGATGATGATTTCTTGGAATTTCGAAATATCACCTGAAGAAGTTCGGAGTCTATAACAGCCAACATGTTGTGAATATTGGCAATAAAGCTGAGGACAAAATATAGCTACTTAACGAGATTGTATGTGGCGACGCCAGACCATGTATTGAAAAGTATTGTAAGGGGATAAACATTGCAGGATAGGAATTTATGGAGGAGCATGATTGCTCACCACCTGAAAGCAACACAGTACAAAGGTAAAGAATAAGTTAAACTGTTATTTCTATTTGCCATATAATGCAATTGGTGCTATCTCGGCAAGCACTAAAAGAATTAAACGGTTGATGCATAACAAGGTTTAATAATATCGTCATTGGCGGAAGTCGTTGCCGAGTATTGGGGTATTCATCGACAGCGAAGCGACCGTGAAGAAAAATTGGATTGGCCCAGGTCGGTTAGTTATATATTGACTGAAATAAATCAATTATTCTATTTGTCTGAACGTATGGCAATTACGATTTTCAATTTAGGATCATTGTATAGTATATAAGAAGAAGAAGAAAAAGAAGAAGAAGAAGAAGAAGAAGAAGAAGAAGAAGAAGAAGAAGAAGTGGTAGTGGTAGTGGTGTTGTGGAGTTGTGTGATGACGGACAGACGTATAAATGGGTGTTTTACAATAATAGTAATATATTTATTTAAGCTTTTCATAGACCATTATATTTAGTACATAGTCTATCAGTTTATAGATTAGGCTTTCAAATGTACAGAGGGTACAGATGTAACGGGGTTGATATTAATGACAGAAATTAGAATGCATAAAACGTACAACGATATGGTGTGTGTAAAAAGGTTCTCGGTGTCTCTTTTGTTTAAAGGTCAGCGCTTACTTGGTTTGGTTCTGAGAATTTCGTTTGTGAGGATGCCGTTTGGAGATCTGTGTTTTCGATAACAGAGCGCTGGCTAGACGTGTGTTTCTTACTGCTGCTGCTACTTGTCTTCTGATCTACTGACTAGTGCTACAGGTACCCTAATCTACTCTATTGTTCTCTACTGACTCTCTTGCAGTGGAAGGGTCGTTTTTATAATGAGAGCCTAGAATCCATTGTGACTCGCCACCGACTTTGATGGGTCGGACACCTTACCCGAATGCTAGACATCCGCCTACCCTAAAAATAGCCTCTTCTCGGGGCACGCACATGGCAAGTGGAGACCCACGTCATTGATTCAAGGATCAGCTCAAAAACATCTTGCTGAGAACAGAAATCGATCTGGTCAATTGGGAGACGGAAGCTGTCGAAAGAACCAATTGGGGAAGAGAGAGCAGTCAACGAAAAAAAAAACAAAAACAAAAAAAACAAAACAAAACAAAACAAAACAAAACAACATCCTTCGAAAACACCAGAAGACAAATAGAATAGACGAATAGAGCCCAAAGAAAACCCAGAGCGCTCCTTCCCCTGAACCATTCTACCCTACCATGCGGTGGATGCGGACTTCTCTTCAGATCCAACATCGGACTCATTTCATATAGAAGGGAATGACGATAAGTACCCCAATACTCGGCAACGACTTCCGCCAACGACGACATTAATAAACCTTGTTATGCATCAACTGCTTAGTGCTTGTCGAGATAACACTAACTGCATAAATGGCAAATAGCAACAACAGATTAACTTACCTTTGTGCCGTGTCCTTTTCACGAGGTGATCAATAATTGCCCTCCACAACTTCCTATCCTGCAATGTTTGTCCCCTTACAATACTTCTCAATACATTCTCTGGCATCGCTATATGCAATCTCGTTAAGTAGCTATTTACACTATTTACGTTGTCCGGACAGTTCTTCTAAGCCGTATCGCCAATATTCACAACGTTTCGGCCGTTATAGGCTCCGGCTTTCTTCAGGTGATATTTCTTTGTTCGGTTCGCGGAGGATCGGTTCGAAATTCCAAGAAATATCATCTGAAGAAAGCTGGAGCGTACAACGGCCGAACTGATGTGAATATGGCAATAAAGTTGAGGACACCAGTCCGAACAATGTAAGTAGAGTAAATAATTACAATAACTCATCTCAGAAATATAGACAGATCTCATTAAGTAGGTTACTCGCTGTTTCTTTCTGCCCATCTTACTTTTAATATGTCCTCGAGCGCCAAATTCTTAAAGCCCTCTTTTCTCATTTTACCTGTCTCTTTCTAATACTGCGTACAAGTGTCTGTTTGCATTTTACTTAAAACTTCCGTGTTGCCCTGTCCGTGGTATTCTCAGTATCCTTCTGCAGATCTGTGTTGCCTCAAGTCTCCTCGACATCTGTGAGAAGATTATCCAACATTCACTATTCGCTAGTATATACGTGGTTCCAACTTGCTAGGCTTCGTCTGGGGTAGTTTGAAATGAATATTAGCTTAAGCCCCAGGGGATCATTGCCCCAGGCATTACCACTACCCGTCGCCCGAGGCGTCCACAAAAGGAGAAGTGATGAGGGTGTCTGAATAAATTTTCCACGTTATTGCCATTAAACCCACTTTAAATTACGACCTTGTCTCACATTCAGTAACGACGTGAACGCACTGAAAAAAAAATCCATGTGCAGAATGGTACAAAAGTAGATATACAGTAAGTTCAGCAAATTTCACCCCTATAGATTTTTTTTCCTTGGGATGTGTAAAGGATATATATTCCTCTGTATCTATTGCTTTCAATATGTCCTGTGAGTGCTAAATTTTCTAAGCCCTCTTTCTTCATTATGTACCTTAGAAATTTCAACTGTCTCATTCTGATGTCAATTATAAGTATCCTTATCCGACCAAGCATAGAAATGAATACAATATGGGAACCAGAAATAAGGAGTGCTAGAGAAATGCGATAATAACAACAAAAATTGCAATATGAGCTTTGGTAAAAACGTGTAATGACAACAGCAAAAATTACAATATGAGCTCTGGTAAAAAATGGTGGCTGAATACATTAGCTTTATAATAACCAGAAATTCATACACATAGCACTGTGGATAAAGGCGTTAGTTAGATCCAGTGACAGGACCCAAAGAGTGTGAGTTCAATACCTGGTTAAGGCAGTGGAGAACTTGCAGAGGGAAATTAACAGGAGATAACTGATAACTGACACCCATTAAAACATGGCACGTGGAACTAGAACAGTCTACCCCAGTGAGCGAAATAAAGGATTCAGTTCGACATTCCAACCACCTGAAGAAAGCCGGAGCGTACAACGGCCGAAACGTTGTAATAAATATGGCAACAAAGATGAGGACAATAGTCCGAATAATGTAAATAGTGTACATAATACCTCGTCTCAGAAATATAGACAGATACTGACGTATCCTTTTTGTTTCCATTTTTTCTACAAAAAAACTGTTGATCCATGGTATTCTCAGCATCCTTCTGTAGAACCACATCTCTATCGCCTCAAGTCTCTTCTCCATCTGTGCGTAGATTGTCAAGCATTCACTGCAATATAGGAAGATCGATATTACATGATTGCCGTCGTCCGCCTCGAGTTATTCAAAGCAATTGTTTTTCTTAACGGTAGTTGGCTCACTATAAGTCAATCAATCGCTTGCTACTACTACTGAACTCCGACCCCATACAAGTCGTCGGTGAAAGACCGGCCAACCATAAATATTTCATATTAACTGTAACAGATGCTGTTACCAACATTTAAGTTTGAGTCATATGGCTAATAAATCATATTTATTCTTTTTTTATTGCTTTCCTATTTTCGGAGAAATAAATTTGTGTTAATGTCATTCATTCTACATTAAGGTGGATATTAAAAGCCGTTTTTATAAGCTCTGAGAAATACCAAGATCTTTAGTCGTAGTAAAGTTAAAAAAATTGGTTGGCTGCTCTCATCCGAGTATGTCCGTCTGCTACTACCTATTCCCTGTTCCAGACACCTGCTCAGGTACATTTGTTCAACGCCCACAGAGTTGACCTGCGTTTTATACTGCAACTATGCATAGTTGCAGTTTCTGGGAGGTAGTGCATAATCTAGTGTGATCAAGGCCAGCATGCTGAGACCCTCGACTTGTGATTTTGTGTCAGCACAACCAATGGATTACGAATATTTTCGTCTCCCCAATTTCAGTTTCAAGGTTTGGGCTAACTTCCCAACAAGCTAAGCCGACTATTTACATTATTCGGACTACTTTTCTCATCTTTGTTGCCATATTCATCACAACGTTTCGGCCGTTGTACGCTCCGGCCTTCTTCAGGTGGTTGGAATGTCGAACTAAATACTTTATTTCGTTCGCTGGGGTAGACTGTTCTAGTTCCACGTGCCATGTCTACTGGATGTCAGTTATCAGTTATCTCCTGTTAAATCACCTCTCCAAGTTCTCCACTGCCTTAACCAGGTATTGAACTCACAACTCTTTGGGTCCTGTCACTGGATCTAATCAACGCCTTAATCCACTGTGCCATGTATCTTTAAGAAATATAGACAGAAACTAAACTGATATTGTAACTCAGATTCGAACACAGGGAGGGCTGTTAAGGTCATAAGCACTCAACCAGCCAGTCTATTAAGAAATAGGAGTTTTAATGGGATTAGATAAGTTCAACTATCGCCAGGTTCACACTCCTCCCCATCTTTTGAACAGAAGTAGAGGTTTACCCCTTGTCTCCTGTTTAGGATTGGGCTTCTGTTTTCTTCTTAATTCTACTTCAACTCTATACTTCTAACGTCTCCGCCTAAACGTTGAAGTTTATACTACAGGGTTATTCAAAAAGGATGAACCGGTTTCATGACGCATTGCTTCAGTTCTCAAGTATCGTCATGGATTGAGTCAGTGATGAGCTTTCTAAGTTTTGAATGGTTGTCACAGGGGCGCTGTCGTCTCCTCGGATCTTTGGCAACGTTCTGTTGTTTTTTCACCCCCCCCTCTACACCACCACCACCGAATGACGAGTCCTCAGCACAAGGCGTTCTGCGTTCTCGAGTTCGCGAAAGCAAATACGGTTGTCCCGGTGCAGCGTGCTTTTCGAAGGCAATTCAACATTAATCCGCACTCTTCTAGGAATATTCAACGGTGTTTAGACAGTTTCAAGAGAGTGGGTGTCTGTGTAAAGGAAAAAGTCCAGGACGACGCCGAGTTTCAGACGAACAAGTGGCGAGAATCCGTGCTGCGTTTGAGGAGAGTCCACAGAAGTCCACAAATCGAGCTAGCCGGGACCTTGCGATCTCTCAATCCACTACCTGGCGTGTGCTAAGAAGACGTCTACATTATTGACTACGCCACGTTCAGGCACTTACGAAGTACTTACTCTTTGTGCTTGGCCTACGAGATCTGGGAGGAATGCGCTTATCGCATCGATGTTGCCTGTGCTGCAGGTGGTGGCCACATTGAACACTTGTAAGACTGGAAATAAAAGTTGATTGTGAGTAGAATACTTGTGACTTGGCTGGAATTTTCTGTTACATTTCCTTATTAAAATATTAAGTAATGAAATCAGTTCATTTCTTTTTGTTCAACCCTGTATTATTCGATTCCTGGTTCATTCTAAAGTCATTTCATTCTCTTTTATTTCCAGTAGAGACTACCTCTTAGTGGCGTTATTGCCTTGCTGGGTGTGAATTGATTAAAAAAAATAAAATATAAATAATTTTTATTCGGTTTTTCATTAGACTTCTGTAAGCGTCATGAGCCAGAAATTTGGATGGAAATTATAACCTCAAGACTTTCAGTCCTAAGCTGTAACTACTGAGAAAAGTATGTTTTTGACATAAAATACTTACTACTATTTTGGTACTTTTATTATTATTCTTATTGTTTGAAAGGAATATTGTTTTGTGTTTTGTCTACAAACCAGCTGTTGTAGAGCTGTTATCTTTTATCTTATTAACGCACGCATTCAGAATCAAATAAAGAAAAATTTATATAAAAAAAAATAAAGCTATTCACCTCAAGTGTAAACATTCTGGAAAAGTCGTCACTACCTGGGAGAACTCCTCAAAAGTAAGTAATATTATTTCCATATATCATTTCTTATCACTCACGAATATTTATTCGCATACAAGAAATCATTTAATTGTTTATTGCAATAACAAACATCACGGAACTGTTTTTAAAAATTATCGTAAAGAGTGGCTGATTATTGCAGGGGGTTTATTTACTAGTGATAAATTTGTTGGTAATTGAAAAGATGCTTGTCGTTTTCATTTCCGTGAAATACGCTATTAACTATATATATATATATATATATATATATATATAAGAATTAAAATAAAATCCAGTATAGGTTTCTATAGGAATCAGGTATTAATTACAGGTTTCTACCGAAATAATTAGATGTAACCGTAAGTAACTATTCTAATAGATTCTTTTCTCACCTGTGGAAATCTTGTCGGATTTCTGGCTTCACTGTCACCTACAAATTTAAACGCGATATCAATCCCCGTTTTTTCCTGTTCTTTTATTGTCCTTTCTCCTTACTAAACTTTTTTAATGTTCTTCCACGCTCAGACATCCCTTAGTGACGTTATTGCTCTAATTCGGGTGAAATGATAAAAAAAACAAGTTCCCACCGTCCTAAACATAGTGATATTAATAGGTTAATATGTATAATCTTATGGTGGGTGATTCCGTGTGGCTGTGTACTAAAAAATGACCTTTGCAACATTCATGATTCATACTAGCCATAGCCTAAAATGTTCACTTTACTCCTAAAAGGACTAATTGTAAAAATTTTCTGATTAAGAGAACGCTGGGAAAGTGTTGATAGTTACGCCTTATAGAAACAGTGATTTAATTAAAGATCTTATTCTTCTTGTTCGAACATGACTCTCCACAATTTCCTTTCTGTTGTAGCTCTTAATACATTTTGTCTCCTAACCCTTGTCCCAACATCCATTTACTCAAACTCGCTAGGAAGGTTATTCATAGTTTGCATCCTATCCCTTTGGCCTTCAATCTGAACAGTACCAAATTTTTCAATTCCTTTTTCCTCATTATGTGTCTTAAAAAATCAACTGTTTCTTCCTGATGTCATTATAAGTTTCCTTTACGTTTCCATTTTCTGTAAAACTTCGTCGTTGCTCATATGTTCAGTCCATGGTATTCTCAGCATCCTTCTGTAGAACTCGTTTTCATCTAGTCTCTCCTTCATCTGCGTAGAGATTGTCCAGTATTCACTCCCGTATAGGAGGACTGATATTACATAACAGTTCAGTACATTTTTCTTTGTTTCTAACAATATTTTCCCGTTCCTTAATACTTTGCTTAGTTTTGGAAGGCATCTTTCGCTACCCCAATACCTTTTCGGATTTCAATGTCACACTTTCCATACTCTGATAAACACTTCTCAGATATTTAAACTGTTGTACGTGTTTGATTTTGGTATCTCCACTTTGAATGTTGGGCTGTTCCTTTTATTAACAACCATTCCTTCTGCCTTCTTATAATTTAAGTTTACTCCTTTCTTCTTGCTTTCCTTCAATAATTTCTGTAGAAGGTTTTGTAGATTCCTTTCTGCGATGGCCATCAACACTGTGTTATATCTTATGTCGCTAAGATTGTAGCCGCCAATAACGACTCCTGGTAGGACTTCTAGTTCTCTCAGAATCGCCTCACTGTATAGGTTTAATAAGTCTGGTGAGAAGACCCATCCTTGTTTTACACCCTTTGGTACTTTTGTATATTTACTGAAATCATTTTCAAGCGGTTTGCTGTCATTACATGTTCTAAATTATTCTATCATTCCAAAATGTGTCCCGTCCTGGGTATGACGATAAACTATATCCACGTCTTGGGTAAGACGATAAACTACATCCAACAGCAAGGCCTCTGATAAGGAGGTTTTGAGGAGCGTGGAACCACCTCTTAATTGCTGATATTCCCAAGTCCACCCTGACCCGGTGTGGTAGCACTTGTTAGGGACCCAGCTATGGGAAAATAGTTAACCCCAAAATGGGGTCAAAACATATGAAAATGTAAAAATAGGTTTTAGTACCATCAATACATTCTTGTAAAATATTATTACCACAATGAATTTTTGAAGAAAAAATTATTACCAGTAATAGATTAAAAAAAAAAAATTAACAGCAATAAAAATCTTGTCGGCATTAAATAACTCATTGAGGTTGATATACTGTAATAAAAACAAACCAAACCAAAATGTGTCATAATTACCTAGCAACTTTAACATTTCTTCGTTACGTACTTTATCAAATGCTTTTGCATACTCTGTAAAACACAGGTACACGTCCTTCTGTATTTTTATTCATATTTCTGATGTCATTTTTAGTATAAATATCGCATTTTTTGTCCCATTGTCTTTAATGAATCCTCGCTGTTCCTGTCCTATTTTCATTTTAATCCTGCCGCTTTGTATTCATTAGAATTTGGATGAAAGTTTTTGTTTTATGACTCATTAGGGAGATTGCCCGATGAAGTTCACATTCGTTTGCACCTAGGTTCTTAGGCAGTGCTACGAAAACAGATGTACTTAGAACATCCGGTATGTCACCACTGTTGTAGATTTCATTTACTATGCCTGCCAGCATATTTATTACAATTCCGTCTGACTATACAGTTTTGTTCCAGTTTAATTTAGTCAGTTCTAATTTCAAATCACATTTTAATATATTTGGTCCTTCCATATTTCTGTATATTTCTGATTGTCCTTTCTTTCTCTAATATCAGTGTCCTGTCCTAGAAATTTATGGATTTGTTTATGAACATGTCTTTTGCTCTGTTAGTTCTCTTATTTTTTGTACCTATCTGAGTTTATCTGTGATACTCATTTTTTCTATATCTGCACATTTTTATTGAGACACTTCTTTTTAGCGCGCTTGCATTTGTTCCTAATTTATTTGTGCAGAGTCCTATATTGTATGCCGTGCATTGACTTGTTTTTAAGAATTTCATCTGTCATCCGTTGTTATTTTCTTTGTCTTGCTTTTTTTGTTGGGATGATCGCTATTGTTGATATTACTAAAGATTCTGTTAATGTGTCTCACTTTTGTTCATTGTATCTGCTTTTAACACTGTCCATATATTTCTCCTTCATATTCAGAAGTCTGTCATACCGCAATTTATGTGCTTCCTTGGCCTTCTTCAATTTCCGTAGTTTCACTCTAAGTTTGTATATCACTCGAAGGTGGTTACTCTCGGATGCGGCATTTCGGTATGTTTTGCAGTGTAAAACTGTATTCCTGAATCTCGACTTCTGCATATCCATATACGTCTTGGGTATTCTTGAAACCAGGTGTTGCCTACTACCTGTTCATTCGCCGTGCACTACTGGACCCATTTTTCTCCCTGTTCATTACGAGTTCCTAGTCCGAATTTGCCAATTATTTCAACATCTCTTCCCTTGCCTGCTTTGGCATTCAGGTCTCCCATGAGAGTTTTAATTTCTTACTATTTGCATTGAGACTCGGTTTTGTCTAGCTTACAGTAATACTTTTCAATTTCTTCTGTACTTTATGCTGTCGGTGCATAAACAACTACGATGGATATGATGAAAAGTTTTCCTTTCAGTTTAATGGCAAGAATTATTTCAGATAGTTGACAGTATCCTAGAAAACACTTCTTCATGTCTTGATCTAATATCAGTCCTACTTCTCTCTCATTTTTCTCCGCCTACATATCTGATTCTATGTTTGCCATTGACGAAATCAACTCGTTTCTCATCACCATTTAACCTGTTCATTTCTTGTTTTATATTTTCTCACTGGCCATATTGATTTACTTTTCTGATATTCCAGGTCCCGTGAATTATTTTTTTGTTTGGTGTGAACAATTGCTGGATGACGGTCCGCTGACACCTGGCGCACAATGTTTTCCCTTACCGAGCGAGGGATCAATTCCAATGATAATAATCCCCTTTACACCGTTTTTGTTAACAGTCGATCTGGTGATAGTCAGATCATACCTGCTGCACATGCCCCTCCATACAGGTCCAGGAGTTAATTCCAATAGACTTAACCCCTCCATACCAATATCTTTTATAATTTGACCGTTAAAAGCCATGAGTTTTCTTGGGATTGATAGCGGAGTTGTTTCCTGATGCCTTCCTCACGGTGATTTTATTGAGACACTACTGTTGGCTGGCTCATCAAGAGTTATCCCCCCACTTTGTTAAGTTTTATTTTCATTCTACAGGGTTGCTAACAACCCACTTTATTCGCAAGATATTGGAGCCGGGGTGTTAGTTTAGTCGCTGACCAATTGACAATAGTATATATTCATATACATACCCGTACATGCGCGTAACACACACACACACACACACACACACACACACACACATATATATATATATATATATATATATATATATATATATATATATATATATATATGTTAGCTCTATCACTGATATTTAGCGCTTTCCAGGTCGTACCGTGCATATATAATATATAAATAATATATATAAAACTATATATATATATATATATATATATATATATATATATATATATATATATATATATATATATATATATATATGTGTGTATGTATATAAAGACAATAGGAAAACTGTAATGGTAGCCGACGCGTTTCGTCCACTGTGGGCTTTTTAAAGGCCACATTGAAAAAGTCCATATTGGACGAAACGCGTCGGCTACCATTTTAGTTTTCTTATTGTCTTTTACATTTATAAATATTGTCTTTTTCTATAGGTTAACTCTGAGAAATTTTATTATATATATATATTTATATATATATTTCTAACAGCGAAATTCAATAATTAATTTCTGATAAGAACCAAAGGTTTCATATCTGATAATCAAAAACATGAATTTAAAAATATATTTTAATTAACGCAGGCATAAATTAAAATGACAAGACGAACAGGTTCATGATGGAAATTCGTCCCCATTCTGTTCTTTTGGTAACGAATAATTCCTCTCAGACAGTTTTATTCTCAGGACTGTTATTTTGTGCAAGAGACTCCCCAGGGGATGCTTTCCTAACGGCTACACACTTAACCTATTCATACTGTCTACACTTAACCGTTATCTATCTTATCCTAATAGTATCCATTTCTTGCTTCCCCCTTCTTTACAGAAACATTCAAATTATGCATGAATGTGTGATCTATATTGAATAAAATGATAATGTGACACCGTGAACTTAAAATCCGATATAAGACTTGGATATTCTTGAAACCAGGTGTCGCCTACCACCTGTTCATTCGCCGCATACTATTGGGTCCATTTTTCTCCACGTTCATTACGAGTTCCTAGTCCGAATTTGCCAATTATTTCACCATCTCTCGCTTTGCCTACTTTGGAATTCAGGTTTCACATTACGATTGTAATTTCTTGCAATTTGCATTGAGCCTCGGTGTTGTCTAGCTTACAGTAAGACTTTTGTACTTTCTGTTGAAATATTAAATATAAATAAAAAGTTATAAATAAACTCGTGGCCTGTTTAGATGTTGAATCCATTTACACTAACGTCTCTGTTAACAAATGCGTAAATCTTTTTAAAAAGCATTTAACACTATCAAAAATAATCTCTCACAACCGATGGCTAAAATAATAAAAAATTGCCGTCTCATCATCAATCAACGATATCATTTAAAATAATTTTTATAAACAAAAATTTGGGTTACCAATGAGTTCCTCTCTCTCATTCATTTTCTTAGAATTTCTTGAATCTTGTCCTTTCCCAAATATTTTACTTAAACGATCAATACCATTCCCTATATTTTGATACCACTAATATATACCCGCATAACTACATTGTATAATCTTGTAAATAAACAAAACAAAGTCGAATATACGATTATTTACTTATGAAGCGGAAACAAACAATACGTAATAACTATGAACTAAAACTAAGTGCACATCATAAATCAAGTAATAATAATGAGCTCATAAACTTATTTTCTCAACATAATAACAAAATAAAACCCGGAATAATTCTATTTAATGACCCCCGGATATTTTTACAAAAATGATTAGTGGTTATTTCTAGCCTTAGTTCTCTGGCTGGAAATGTTTATACAACAGAAATCAAAGGAAATGATAAAAATAATGATAATAACATGCCCTGATGTCTCGAAAAATAAAAGTTACCAGCGATGAAATCTCCCCATAAGGGTGGAAACACTGCTGTTGGTGGCTCCGGAAATTTGACTGAATCTTCTTGTTTTCTTCCACCTGGTTAAGATGTGATTGTGCTTTGGGCTTAAAAGAGGCGCTGTTAATAGACGAAGCGGCTATTATTGTTAACCACGCATCCGTTTTGCTTCGTCATGAAGAGCATCTTCTTCATAACGTTACTAATTCTTACCTGGGCATTCTATGCTTCTTTTCCATTTTTCGAAGATAGAACTCAACTCCGTCGAAAATTTGCAGATTTTTTGACAGATTCTGTACAAAGCATGGATTCTGATCTTAAATGTGCGGAGGTGTTAGCAAGTACATATTTTGTTTTGGCGAAGTAAGATGAACTATACGAAATATCCCATTCAGTGCCATAGCTGCTTGACCTTATCTAGCTGGGCATGGCCCCTGGAAGATGACACACTGTGCATCCTTGTTCATGAGCGGTGATTGTGACAGAACCAATCTCGATAGTCTTTTTTTTTTTCATTTTTAATAATAAATTTAAAGGTTGTCATAGCCAAAGCAAACTTGGGTGTCACATCTCGATATTTTGGAGACCGTCTGTGCAGACTTGAAAATATTTCAGTTTAAGGGCGGGAGCTGCCCAGACTTCCCTTTCCGCTCTCTATAGTGTCCAAACGTATCTCTGCGTCTTTATAGGTGACCCATTATTTTCCACTCTACAACCACTTTCACACAGACGAGACGTCGCAAGCCTCTCGCTGTTCTGTTACTATTTCCATGGGGAGTGTTTAGATCAACTCCCCTACTAAGTTCAACTAGTCCTAAACTTCACGGTCAAGACCTACCATGTCACGCATCTTATAGCGAATCACTCTCATTCCCTTTGTATTCCCTTGGTTAGAGGTAAGTTCCACTCGAACAGCTTCTTCCTGCGAACCACTGCTTTGTGGAACCGACTCACAAGTTATTGTTTCCTCATTCACTACAACCTTAATCTGTTCAAATCTAGGGTTAATCGTTATCGTCCACACATCACCGTATAAACTGTGCTTCTTATACTGAAACGCTTTACTTCGAGTGTCCCTCGGGCCTTGTACTGGGTGAACACCGTTGTAAAATAAATCCACAATAACGTGAATATTTAGCCGTGAAATATGTACCTTGCATAATTTTATCAGAGTGAGTGTCATGGCGGCTTCGTATATTTATTTATACCCCAGCGTCCCGTTGTCAGCGTGATGTTTTCTCACTCAATATGAGGGAAAGTAAAAAAAATTATCCGCGCTCTTGTTATGTTATATGTTATGTCCAATGTTCGGATAATTTTTGATTTAACCTCGTACTAATATCATTATCATTAATAATAATTGATGTATCCGTTGTTTTCCAGGTGTGAACTCTGAAGTTTTCTACCTGACAGTAAGAAAGAAGGAAAGATGCCTAAAAGAAACAAAAAGGGCAAAAAGAAGAGTCTGAGGGCAAAGATAGAAGAGATTCGGAATCCATCGAAAGAGAAACAGTTGCAATTCTTAATGAAAGCCTTCAAGACATTTACAGGAAGCCAAAATAAAGAATCCAGCTTCTCCATTTGGAAACGTGAGTTTCTTAAACTGCAGTCTAATTTCTTTAAATCTTTCTTTCGAGGCACTCAGATACCTTTCACTACAAAGTGATCATCTGAGATTTCAGTATAATTTATTCAAGCAGCATTCAGATACCTTTCTCTACAAAGTGATCGTCTTAGATTGCAGTCTTATTTATTCAAGCATTGTATGGGAGGCACTCAGATACCTTTCTCTACAAAGTGATCATCTGAGATTTCAGTATAATTTATTCAAGCAGCATTCAGATACCTTTCTCTACAAAGTGATCGTCTTAGATTGCAGTCTTATTTATTCAAGCATTTTATGGGAGGCACTCAAATACCTTTCTCTACAAAGTGATCGTCTTAGATTGCAGTCTTATTTATTCAAACATTTTATGGGAGGCACTCAGATACCTTTCTCCATGAAGTGATCATCTTAGATTTCAGTCTTATTTATTCAAGCATTTTATAGGAGGCACTCAGACACCTTTCTCTATAAAATGATCATCTTAGATTGCAGTCTTATTTATTCAAGCATTTTATGGGAGGCACTCAGATACCTTTCTCTATAAAGTGATCATCTTAGATTGCAATCTTATTTATTCAAGCATTTTAGATACCTTTCTCTACAAACTGATCGTCTTAGATTGCAGTCTTATTTATCCAAGCATTTTATGGGAGGCACTCAGATACCTTTCTCTACAAAGTGATCGTCTTAGATTGCAGTCTTATTTATTCAAACATTTTATGGGAGGCACTCAGATACTTTTCTCTATGAAGTGATCATCTTAGATTTCAGTCTTATTTATTCAAGCATTTTATAGGAGGCACTCAGATACCTTTCTCTATAAAATGATCATCTTAGATTGCAGTCTTATTTATTCAAGCATTTTATGGGAGGCACTCAGATACCTTTCTCTATAAAGTGATCATCTTAGATTGCAATCTTATTTATTCAATCATTTTAGATACCTTTCTCTACAAACTGATCGTCTTAGATTGCAGTCTTATTTATTCAAGCATTTTATGGGAGGCACTCAGATACCTTTGTTTATTAAGTGATCGTCTTGCTTCATCTTGGTCTTGAAATAGACTTTGTCGTTGCATTTGTACGTAAGCGAATATAGCAAACCCGACTTGAATTCGAACTCGACTCTCCGATTTCAGCCTCCAAGTCCCTGTCCATTACTCTGTGTGTGTGTGTGTGTGTGTGTGTGTGTGTTGGTGGTGTAATGGACAGGGACTTGGAGGGACTTACGTGCTAATACCCTTGCAAAAGGTATGAATCCTCTTCTTCTCCCTCCAGCTATGGGTAAAAATAGCAGTACAGACTGGGTTCTATAGCCTTGGATGGCAACTGGTCTAGGAGAAGGACAACTCTGAATTCAAAACCTGCGGGGGGTCGTTTGGGGACCTTGTGGCATTCGGTGCACCAGGTCTCTGTATTCGTCCCTTCAAAAAGTGTGGATGGACCTGCACAAGGCCTTCACCACTTTAATCAAATCTCATGTGCCGGTGTCGGGCTGTCGGTTTCCTGGAAACTGATCTGCTTGACCCTCATACGTCGAATCTCGACGGGAGAGTCGACTATATATATATATATATATATATATATATATATATATATATAATAAACCGTATTAATAACAATTACTGAACGCCCAAGAAATTTCATAGAAAATATGCGTCCCCCGACAGGAATTGAAGCTGTATCCTACACCTGACCGTCATATAGTCGAACGTCCTATACCAGTTTAGCTACGAAGGAGCGTCTGGTTAGCAAGGTCGATTTTACGTCTTTTAAACTACAACGACGGTAAATGTTATTAATACTGTTTATTATAAACAGACCATTTACTGTATAAATAACGTTAACAATAAAATATATTAACATAATTATCGGACTTAGTATATATATATATATATATATATATATATATATATATATATATATAAACCTGGAAAATCATTTAATTCATAGTTATAAATGCCCACCATAAAATATGGACCCAAATTTCCTTCCATTTTAAATTCCCAGTAATTTTGGTTATAAAGAATTACAAACATATTTGTGAAGAGATTATGCACACAATAAATAACAATCTTCGATCCAGAATACAGAAGCCACACTCCCCGAATAGGATTAAGGTCATATTCGTGGGAAAAAGCGATAGCTACTAATATTGACTGATTCGTTTTTACGACTTATCAACCCATTGCAGATTATTTAAAGCCAGAAAATATTTTTAGATTGCAAGAATCTTTTTTTCTTTTTTTTTGAGATAATAATGATTTAATGATAGAAGTCTTTCTAATTAATCCATAGTTGGGGGGAGAAGGGATGGATTCATACCTTTCCCAAGATTATTCTCGCTTAAGTGAATATAACAAACACAACTGTAATTAGAACTCGGCTCTCCAATTAACTATTCCGATTACACCGTCCGCACACCCAAGCTTACAACACCTGGTATTCCCAAGCGGTCACCCATCTAGTCTAGACATGGCTTAACTTCGATGGTCGTACCTGAATCGGTGTTTCGACGTGATACGGTCATAAAGCCTTAGTTACTAAGAGATTCAGTCTAGTGAGTGACCTTTCCTTAAATGAACCAAATGACACAATAAGAGGAAACAAATCAAACTCATTAACAATGGCTTGCATGACTAAGTCTGCTAATCATTTTTCTGTGGATTCCGTCCGATCCTTGTAAACTAAGCTTAGCCCAGACTCCCAGATTTTGTTTTAAACTCACTAGCGATGAATTGGATTAATTTTTTTGTTTATCATCCCCAGTCGTGTCGGTGTTGTCGTTTGGACATAGCTCAATGTTTAGAATGAAGGAATGCAAGAGCTGAGTTTCTATCAGTGGACGAGAAGGAATATGTTTGAAATTTGTAAAATCTGAAATCAGTCAGTTATGTACCATGCATAATACATATTTGATACATGACTGACGAGGCAGTTTTTTTTCCCACAGAAGGTTGCCATTTCTTTCTGCGGTAGACCAGTTGCCATTCAAAGCTATAGAACCCGGTCTGTACTGCTATTTACCCATAGCTAGGGGAGAAGATGATGATTCATACCTTTCACAAGGGTATTAGCACGTAAGTCAAATTAATGGATTCGAGTGGAATTCGAACTCGGCTCTCGAAGCCGCTATCCATTACTCCTAAAATCTGAACTACCCATAGGGAAATAATGATATTGATGATAATCATGAGTTGGACTTTGGCTTTGTTCAGCAATAATGATCGTTGCTAAACCATGAATATTCACTTCCCCCGCTCCCCAAAATAGGACGGTCTGTTATTTATTTATTTTTTAATTGGTTCCCCCCCCCCATGCAAGGCAGTAAAGCCAGTAAGACACAAGGGTGTGGAAGAATTAGGAACAGAAACATTAATAATGAGCGGAAAGAGGAGATAGTAACCAGGAGGACAGTAAATAGAGATTGACATTGCATTTAAATTTTTGAAGATCATAGTTGGCTGGAAAAAATGGAGACAGAATAGAGTTCCACAAGCGAGAAGTGCGAGAAAAGAAACTGTTCGCATAGAATTTACGGTTACATCTAACCAGCTCAAGGGTAAATTGATGAGATCTCGACGCCAGTCTAGTATGGTGCTTAAATTCAAAAAGTCTAGGTACCATAACGAAGAGCTCACCCGAAGAATTACCATGAAAATATTTATAGAAAAGACGGAGAGAGGCAACCTTACGGCGGTGAGAAAGTGACTGAAGCCGAGCAGCCAGATCAGGACCACTAATATTGCTGATTCTTCTTTCGATTTTATCAAGGAGACCCAGGTAAATACTAGGGACACCGGACCATATGTGACAGAAATATTCTAAGCATGGTCGAAGGGTAGACTTATAGATATGCAAGATAGATTCTATTGAGAAAAATTGTCTCGCACAACACAGTGAACCGAATTTCTTAGCAGCTGACCTAGCAATGGATTCAATATAGTCTTTCCACTTCATATCAGCCGAGAATGTTAGCCTGAGAAGGCACAACGGGTCACTTTCCTGGAGGTTAGCATCAGCCATGATGATGAAAGGCAGAGAGGCGGTCTCTCTCAGATGATTAATGAAGAGAAGCTTAGTTTTGGTGGCGTTAAAATTAACAAGGCACATTTTGCCCCAGTTAACGACCGTTGTTTTGGACATCGGCTGCTATTTCGACCTTATCTGACTAATCAGCGTTACTATGAAGGCAAGAGTAAATGGTTGCAGATGGACGGTTCAATATTAGATTTTAATTTTATTAAGTATGGATAACATCTTTCTTGGATGTTTTCTCGTCTCTTATTCATGATATTCGCTGATGTCCTCTGATTTCTCCTTTCATTTTCTCTCACTCCGTCAGGTCACTTGTTAGTATCATTTTATAATTCTGCTTATTCCTTAGTTAGCGCATACGCTGTGCTCTGTAATAGCTTACCTGCCCCCTCCCTGCAAATTCTTGTTATAGCAGCAGGATTAAGAATTAAATCTCTAACCGTATTTTTTCAAGTTCCGCCATGACTCATATTGGGGTGCGTTGGGCTTATATATGATCCTAGAATCCTAGAAAGAAACAATGAATGGGAAGATAGAAAAAGTGATAAGGCACTCGTAGGTTTAGCGTCTGCTTCATTGAATAAGAAATAAGCAATAAGAAATTTAACATATATATATATATATATATATATATATATATATATATATATATATATATATATACACAATACAGAATAAAATTCCAGTAAACAAAATACTATTTTAAGATAGTGCTCAATACCGAGTAGATAAAGTATTTATTCAAATGCATGTCATAAAATCACTGCAAAATATGCAATTTTGTCTCGACTCTGGAGATATCTTGTCAAATGGTTTGTAATGATTTTATGACATGTATTTGTTATAAATTTATATATATATATATATATATATATATATATATATATATATATATATATATATGTGTGTGTGTGTGTGTGTGTGTGTGTGTGTGTGTGTGTGTGTGTGTGTGAAATATATGCATATATATAATATATATAAAATGTATGCATATATGTATGAAATATAATCAAATGGATTAAGTCCGGCAATTTAATATATTCTCCGTTTTGTCTTTGTTTTTATAGATATAATTTATTTAAGTAAATGCTCTGATTAATACTGCTTTAAACATTGACGTGCCTTTAAGCGATTGAGCCACAGAGGATCGTTTCGGTTAGCAGGGTCGATTTTATTGTTTTTAAACCACAATTCTCCATGATTCTCTCACGTACATTCATATCTGCTCGATGCGTATCCAAATGTAAACAAATGACGTCACACATTATGAACTGGACAAAGTCCGACAATTATTTCAAGACATTTTTTTATGTTTAAAAACAATAAAATCGACTTTGCTAACCGCAACTCTCTTCTGTGGCTCAATCGGTAAAAGCACGTCAGTCTAACGGTTCCGTATAGGATACAGGTTCGATTCCTGTCGGAGGACGCATATTTTCTATGAAAATTTCTCGGACATTTAGGTCGGTAAATGTTACTAATACTATTCATTAAAAACAGAGCATTTATTTAAATATTTGTATCTATAAAAAGAACTTATAAACATAGAAAAATGTTTTACATTTATATATATTTTGAACAATAAAAATATTACAAAATTAAAATCTTCAGACACACTGGGTTGTAGATTAATATTCTTTCGTTTTTTTATTATTATTTCATTTAGATTCCTCGACTAGTTTCGGCCAAAATGGCCATCATAAGGATGATATATATATATATACTTTTATAAATGTCCCGAAGGAAATAGCTAGATAAAATGCTGAAAGTTTACATTAGCAGTGAAAAGAAGAATTTGTCCGTGCACTTTAAAGTCATGTTTGTATAAGCCATCATTGTGAAATTTTTTTCACAAATACTGCGATATTCCCGTACATTCATGATAATAATTATTATGATTATTATTTCCTTTGATTTTTGTTGTTGACACATTTCCTTCCGTTTCCCAACCAGTGACCTTAAGGTCAGAAAAGGCTTCATAACATTTCCCACAGATCACTGTCTGTAAAAAAAAAACCTCTAAGGTCACACATATTTTACGTAGTTAAAGCTCTTCGTAACGTGTGAGCTATACTTGTGAGTACATTTTTTTTGTATTTCTTCAACGAATGGCCTGTCGGGAATCCGTTTTCCAGTTCGAGTGCTCCAACTACAATTGGAATTTTTGATGACCTCACGTAAGTCATTTTTCTAGATTTCCACTTCAAGATCCTTGTATTTTTATAATTTTTTTAAAGATGTCATGTCAATAAGAAAGCACATTTTCCTCTTGTGGCCTTTGATTACGATGTTGGGGCGATTTGCTTTGACTTGTTCTGTCTGTTCTGGTCTTTCATCACCATTATTATTATTATTATTTTATTTCCTTTGATTTCTGGCGTTTACACATTTCTTTCCGGGTCTCGCCCAGGGACCTAAGTTTAGAAATAGCATTATGACACTTTCCACTGACAAAAAAAAAAAAATATATATATATATATATAGATAAAGCCCTTCGTAAATTGTGGGCTGTACTTGTCAGAACAATTTTTTGTATCTCTTTGAGGTATGGGCTTCCAGGAATCCCTTCAATTAGTCTACTGGAATCTTTTCCAACTAGGGCTCCAACTACAACAGGGATTGTTGATGTTCCCATATGCCACATTTTTGAGATATCTATTTCAAGGTTTCAAGTATTTTGACAGCTTTTTGAATATCTTCAAAGATACATTGGAGTCTGCAAGGACTGCCATATTAATAAGGGGGCACTGTTTTTGTTTGTGGTCTTTAATAACAATGTCTAGGCGGTTGGCTTTGATTGTTCTGTCAGTGTGTATTGTGTAGTCCCATAGAATTGTAACCGGGTCTGGGTGGTGTTCATACCAGTTATTATTATTATTATTATTATTATTAATGGGGATGATGTTTTGTCCTAATTCTATAGTGTTCGGTTGATTTTGTCAAATAACCGTTCAACAATTTATAAAGATAAACAATCCATTTACTGGGTTCGTTTTTTAGTTCAGCTTGTAACCTAAATCTATCCTACTATGGATAGCTTCGATTTTGGTTGTTTCCTTGTCTGTTCTTCGGGTTTGGTGGGAAGGTTGAACCTTACGTCTCTTCTTCTCGATGTGGGCTTGGTGGCAAAAGAGACTGACTGAGGTCATGAAGTTGGCGGAGGAAATCGAACTGTCACCGTGAAACTGTAGACGCGCAGTGACTGGTCTACGCAAGCGCATCAACGTCCACGTGACTCTTGTCAGGTTTATTTTAATTTGTTATCTTCCTTCCCTCCACAGTCTATACGTTTTATTTATTGATTTTATTTGAATTATGCTATAAATATTTTGAAAACTACCTTCTTTTTTTTATTGCAGTTATTTGTCCCATCAGATTTTGAACATGGGCCAAGTGTACAGCTTCTATCTATCCGGGTACTGCGTTTACTTCAAAAACACAGGTGCAAATGAATGTAAGTATACAACTGTATTTTAAAAGCTTTTCAACAGCAGTACTTGAAATTTGGGTTGGTTGCTTCGTTTTCTACGGCTTATCAACCATTTTACAGGTTATTTAAAGCCAGAAAATATTTCTAGGTTAAGAATTTTCATTTTTAGGTAATAATGTTTAAATGCAAGTTTTACTATTTAACCCATAGTTGAGGGAAGAAGAGGTGTATTCATAACTTTCCCAAAGGTATTTGTGCGTAAGTGAATATAACGAAACCAAATGGAATTGGAACTCGGTTCTCCGATTAACGATTCCGAGCCATTATCCATTACACCACCCGCACATCCATACTTACAGCATCTGGTATTCCCAAACCGTTATCCCATCTAGGTACTGACCCGGCCCGACGTTGCTTTATTTCGGTTATTGTACCGGAACCAATGTTTCGACGTGATGTGGTCGTAAGCTTACTTAAAATTTTGTCGGGATTATTATTATTATCATTATCTTCAACAAGTTAATTAATGGCTTTATTCATATGACGAGTAAATGACGTCCTCGTTTCAAAACTGAAAACTATTTTGTAAATTCAGGTTAAAGCATTAACCAAATTGAAGGCTACCCGTTCACAATATTAATCACAAAATTAATATTATTAGTATTGACCATGAAAATAAATATTCCTTTAACTATTTTCTTCTTCTATGTCGTCTGCATATCTTAAGACTGCATTTTGGGCTCATCGTTTTGCTAACAACCATGCATTCTGTTTTCTTGCAGTTGATGTTGAATCCTTTCTTCTCGCTTTCCTTCTGTAGGAGTTGTTGTAGCTTTCTTTCCTTGACTGCTATCAACACTGTGTCATTTGTATGTTGTTAAGATTGTAGCCGCCAATAATGAATCCGCTATGTGAATATGATACTATAAATTCGGTTAATAGAGTTTTTGTGTTAGAGAGAATTTAGTGTCTAAGTGTGTAAATCAGTCATGGGCAAACTGCGACCCACGGGCCACATGTTGCCAGATTGGCTTTCTGAATGACACGCCTAATTTCATTAGGAAAATAACTTTTATTGAAATGTTGTTTGTTTCCTTTCGTTCTCACTTGTTCACTCATAAATACACACTCATGCATAACGACATATATAAATAATAATTAAGTACAATGTTTCTCGAATTTTATAACTTTTTGTTGAAGTTAACGTTGTCAGCATTTTAAACCATTGGCGATTTTCACTAAGGAAGATCATACGTGTAAACATCTTTTGCTTCAGAAACAGAAAACGCCAATGATAATAATAATTATTATTTTTTTTATTTTTTTTTTTTTTTGAGAATAAATATACTTCTTTTACAAATATTTTCGTATTTTCAAATGAATAAATGAAAAACAACTCACAGGCTGCAGAATATAAGATACACTTATAAATACAATTAGCATTTAAATAAAATACACACATACATATTATTAAAGGCCGAAAAGATATAGGAGTTTATTGTTACTAATGATACCGGTAATATTAACCGTTTCCTTACAAGGAAACATTTGGCATTCATTGATCGATCAGCCAGTACTATTTTCGTTTGAAATTTATAAAATTTATAAAACATATGGACCTAGAGCAGTCATGGGGAAACTTCAGCCCGTGAGCCACATCCGGCTCAATTGGCATTCTGAATGGCACGCCTAATTTTATGAGGAAAAGAACGTTTATTAAAATGTTGTTTCCTTTCGTTCTCACTTGTTCACTCACACATTCTCATACATATCGACATACATAGACAATAACTAAGTGAAATGTTTCTTGAATTTTTGTAACTTTTCGTTGAAGGTAACGTTGTCAGCATCTTAAGAGATTGGCAGTTTTCACTAAGGAAGATCATACGCGTAAATATCTTTCGCACTGGAAACAGGAAAGATCAACGATATTTACTCTTCTTTCCTGAATATACTTTTACTTTTACAAATATTTTTGTATTTTCAAATGAATAAGCGAGAAACAACTCACAGGTTGCATAATACAAATAGCATTTAAATAAAATACACACAGACAATTTTTAAAGATCGAAAAGAAATAGGACTTCGTTTTAACTAATGGTAACGGTAAAATTAGTCGTTTCCATAAAAGGAAATATTTGGCATTCATTGACAGATCTGCCGGTACTATTTTCGTTTGAAATTTATAAAATCATTCTCCTCAAAACAATTTTCAGGAAAATAGGTTTTTCAAGTCACTTTGGCAAATAATTGTTATTTTTGTGTTATATTATACACAGTAAGCGTTACAAAGACATTTTGAAAGCAAATCTCCAGGGTTGCAAGCTCAAACTTAGAGGAACGCACCAGTGATCATATTTATTCATTCATATCCATTTCAAGATCGAAAAAACACAGGACTTTACTAACTAATGTTAATATTAATCGTTTCCCTACAGGGAGTCATTTGACAACTAGTATTGCTTTCGGTTGAAATTTATAAAATCTTTCTCTTCAAACAATGTTTCAGGAAAATAGGTTTGTTTTTCAAGTCAAGTATCTGTTATAACTCTTTCCAGTATTGATGGGAGTTTCCTTCCTAACCTTTTATTTGAAGTGGTGTGGAATGTCAGCATCTTGATGATGTCATTATTTTCTCTCCGAGTTACATGCGATATCGATCTTAGTTGTTGCTGCTGTCGGTGGTCCTCAACGAAGTGGTTACTGTTATTTGGTACAGTTCTTTGTTTGTGATTCTGTAGCGCCAATGTTCAAAGAAGTATGATATTTGCCAAGACGTACAAGTTTCACTCGCTGAAAGCCCTTTTTAGCCATTGATCTGAGAAAGTGGTTGTATACAGCTGACAATTTAGATATTTTTGGATCAGTTTGGCGCCAGGCATGAAATCCATATGGAAGTCTAATGAGGTTATTTAAGAACATGATTCGCGTTTTCAGGAATGATGTTTTGGCTTCGTAGAAATCTGCAGTGTTAGGCAAAACGACTTCTGGCGCAATTTCCTTTTCTCCTACAAAAAGCTTGAAAGGCGGTTTCTAATTAGCAGAAGATGGCTATTTTCAAAAGTTCAAATTCAATGTTGGGTGATGCTTTATTATTCCTATATTTTTGAAACACAGTTTTCTGAATTTCCCCATCAATAGGTTCGTTATCGTTTATGTTTGGAGACGGATATTGTAATTATTAGATTAATATTGATAGGTATTGATATTTTCAGTTTGTACTTGTGAGCACTGTTTGTTTTCGCTGAGTTCAGAAAGACTTTTATTTTCTTATTTTAACTGCTTAAGTTTCGTTTATTTGTAGTTATTTTTGCTTGTCATGTTTTTTGCTTTTTTATTAATTTGGTCGTGTTTATTATCTATCTACATATCTATATATCTATCAATCGATCGATAGATGTATCAACCTGTTCACTATCTATCTATCTATCTATCTATCTATCTATCTATCTATCAGCCTGTTCATTATCTATCTATCTATCTATCTATCTATCTATCTATCTATCAGCCTGTTCATTATCTATCAAGCTAGGTTGCTATATATGTATCTGTCATCCTATTCACTATCTATCTATCTATCTATCTATCTATCTATCTATCAGCCTGTTCATTATCTATCTATCTATCTATCTATCTATCTATCTATCTATCTATCTATCTATCTATCAGCCTGTTCATTATCTATCAAGCTACCTATCTATATATGTATCTATCAGCCTGTTCTATCTATTAACTAACTTGCTGAAATCTATTTTTCTAGTCTAGTTTGAAAAATAAGGACATTTGTTTAAATCCTAACCGATACTTTTTTCCGTTTTTATTGTGGAAGACATTTTTCTTGTCTTATTTACAAACGCTTCTTAACGATGTACTACAGTTTGCTGACTGTACAAGCAATAACCATATGCATACCCGAGTGCATAAAATGGCGTTCGGGATGTTTGGATCAAGTTCATGCATAAACATTTGCCTGTGTCCATGCTTTTATTTATAGAAACAATATTCCGATAAAATTCATTTTAGCTTGAGAAAATATCAATAAATAAACAAACGCTTATTCTTCGTTCCTACCTCATTCAATCTGCATCAATCTCGATTGATTTTATGATTGGCAGGGATGAGCAGCATCAACCATTTGTGAATCAATTGGTTGAGGCTTTTAACCGAATTTGCACAACTGTTTTCATTATTCGTGACTAGCATATTGTTGCTACTCCTTCCAAGTGGGTAAGAGTTTGTTTTAAATATTTAATGACTAATGTATTATTCTTTTTTGTTTCAGGATCTTTTTTTATTCTACAAGCCTGTACTGCGCAAATTCTTCAACTCAACCAGCTTCACTATAATGATTTAATTTCAGTTACATTTTTACTTGTAAGCTAAAAGATAAAACAAAAATGCGTAAATAACGATTTCCTTTTCGTTTTTATTCCTTTTATATTTCTTTTAATTCGTTAGACGAACCAAAGTTCGTACGATATTCGATTTTAAATAATTTAAATAAGTCAGGTTTTTTTTTAAATCATTTCACCCAAGCAAGGAGGGAATGCCACTAGTACGCGGGTGAGGGGTTTACAGAGAATGAAAATGAGAGAAAAGTAAAGATTGAGTATAGATAGGATTGAGAAATCCCGTTCATCTTTTGTCCTAAAAGATGAACGGGATTCAAGAAGATAGATGATGGCCAATGACGTTGCATTTAAATTTTTGAAGATTGTAGATATCAGGGAAGCAAGGGAATGGAAGGGAGTTCTACGGACGGGAAATATGAGAAAAGAAACTGCCTTAACCGGGTATTGAACTCACACTCCTTGGGTCCTGTCACTGGATCTAACCAACGCCTTTATCCACTGCGCCATGTGTCCATGAGGGCGCATGGCACAGTGAAGAACTTTAAGAGGGGAAATAACAAGGAGATAACTGATAACTGACATCCATCAAACATGGCACATGGAACTAGAACAGTCTATCCCAGTGAGCGAAATAAAGGGTTCAGTTCGACATTCCAACCTCCTGAAGAAGGCCGGAGCGTACAACGAAACGTTGTGATAAATATGGCGACAAAGATGAGGACAATAGTCCGAATAATGTAAATAATGTATTAAATTATATTTAATCACATCACTCTAATACCTGTTGCGATCTTTTAAAAACAATGATTTCTCTGCAAGCAAGTTGATAACGCCATTAAAATGCAATGGGTGAAATGAAAAATGAGTGTGAAAGAAAATGAGAAGACATCAATGAGGGAATAGAACAATAAAAGAACACGATTCAGGAAGATAGAAGATGGCGATTGATGGTGGCAAGGAAGTTTGAAAAGGAACAATTAGAATACAACCTATCGTCAGGTTCACACTTCTTCCCGATTTTTTGAACACAAATAGAGGGTTTATTTCAGTTCCTTCCAAAGACTAATCCAACTGCTATACTCCTAACGTCTCTGATTGAACTCTGAAATTTGTCTACTGTTTTTTTTTCTTTTTACTGATCTCTATCGTTAATTTGAAAAGATTGGTTCGCCTAGCGTCCGTTTCACACTCCTCCGCGTCCACTGTCTTTTGAACAGGAGTATAAGTTCATGCTTTGTTTTATGTGTTTACGGTTGCTTCTAAAATCTTTTTATTCTCTTTTACTACCAGTAGCCCCTTGCATCTTAGTGGCGTTATCGCCTTGCTTGGGGTGAATTGATTTGAAAAAAAGAATCTACGACTGCATCTAACAATACAACGATGAGACCTAATTACCATTCTAGCAGTACCCTTAAATTCATAAAAATAACTGACAAGTGCCTTGTTAGATATTTTTTTACTGAAACATGTATCACAGAACTTCCAAATACACAAATATTTTTTATATTAATATTCACTCACTACAAGGCCTAGGAGTCGCTCAAGGTAGAGGGTTACTGTGTAGAGAAAGGACAAGCTTTAGGATTAAAGAGCTGAGGTAGACTTTGGAAAGAAGCGGACACCCAATCCTAAACAAATAACAAGAGATAAACTTCTACTCATATTTAAAAGACCGGGGAGGAGTGTGAACCGGACGATGGGTGAATCTATCTACTTCTATAGAATATATATGTATGTATGTACCAACGTATGAAGCACCAATCATGAAAATTGTATTGATTTACTAAGCGAAGTGTAGATGTGGGTCAAGACCGAAATAATACGTACACAGTGAGGATCGAACTCAAAATTCGGTTGATATTGATCTAGCGGTACAATCTTGCTAACCATTACTCCACGTTGACGTGCCCGATTATGAAAATTCTATTTATGTTACACAGCAAATATTTATTTTGCAGCAAGTCCCTGCGTTTCAATTAACTTGTTTCCGCACTTCAAACAGATCGAATAATGAAAATTCCACTAAAAACTCCACGTAAGGTTGGCCACATTATTGATCCATTGATCTATAAAATGATCCACCTTTATTCTATAAAATGATCCACCTTCATTCTATTGATCCTCCATCATTATATAAAATGTCTAAGCTCTAAATCTTCTTTTAACATGTAATATCTTTTTTAGGTCAACATGTATGTCGATATTGCAAAAATATATAAATGGTCTGGTGAGTAAATTATATATTTCATGGTTTTATCATGCGTCTGTGTTCACGAATAACGCTGATTTTCTCGGTCATCAGACGCTGCCAAATTATCATCATAATTGCTAAATTGATTACTAAAATACTTACCCTTGATATCAAAATTAAAAAATGAATTTAAAATTAAAATTAAAAAAAATGTCCATGGTATTCCCAGCATCGTTGTTTAGAGGCATATTTCTGTTGCTTCATATGACATTGCTTCTATATCAATTTAAAATTAAACCAACTATTGCATAATTCCTTCGATCGTCAGATGTGACCTTGCAAAAAGCTGGGATTTGGACTGAACTAATGCTGATTTTTAAGGCAGACAGAGAGGCCACCGGTATCAGAGATCTGTGTTTGGACTCGGGTAAAAGCTGATTTTCAAAGTTGGAATTTTCCTACGATCACCCTGTTTACGTATTATTCCTACATTTGGTTTTGTAATGTATTAAATCTTAAGCTTAAATGTTACGTTCCGTAGGCAGTTATGTCTTTCCGCGGTTTCTTTTTCTCTTATTCTGAATTGCCATGGCGTCTTGAGAAAAAAGTGACCTGATTTCTTGTCGTCTTGATAGTTTTGAATTAAAAGTAGTTCATCTTTTAAACTGGATACTTCACAAGGCTAAAGAGCCAAGTCTACCCTGCTATTTAACTTGGTTGGAAAATTTTGTAAACAAATATTTAAAAATCATTTATTAATGACTAGCTGAAAATCAGCCCAACAGATAGAATTTTAAAATGTCCTACTTCCTCTTTCTGTGCTGTGTCCCATAAGAACGTCATCATCATTTATCGACCGTAGGCGGGACCATCAAGCCAGTGCGAACGACCCTTTCTGTAGGCAGGGCTACATACAGTTTTGAATTCAGAGTTTTTCCTTCTCCTAGACCGGTTTCCACCCAAGGTCATATAACCCAGTCTGTCCTGAGTAGGGGAAGAAGAAGAGGATTCATACCTTTCCCAAGGGTATTAACACGTAAGTGAATTTAATGGATGCGATTTGATTTCGAACTCGGATCTCTGATTCCTGAGTCCGAGCCGCTATCCATTACTCCACCGTGGGAGAAATAATAAAAAAAAAAATGTCCTTTTTGTTTCTATTTTCTCTAGAACTTCGTCGTTGCTCACATGTTCGGTCTGTGGTATCCTCAGTATCCTTCTGTATTGTCCAAATCATATTTAATTGAAATATTTGGGTAGGAGTTCACAAAAAGAAATGATTAAAGATATCTGACTGGAATCCTATTTGATCACCAAATATGTTATGCATTATTTTCCTCTGTGAATTCAATCTGTTCCGTGAGTATCATATTTTCCAAGCCCTCTTTCCTCATTATGTGTACTAGAAATGTCAACAGTCTCTTCCTGATGTTAAGTAAAAATGTCCTTTTTATTTCTATTTTCTCTAGAACTTCGTCGTTGCTCACATGTTCGGTCTATGGTATCCTCAGTATCCTTCTGTAGAACTATATTTCTATTGCTTCAAGTCTCTTTTTGATCTTTGAAGAGATTGTCCAGCATTCGCTTTCATATAGGAGGGCAGATATCACATAACAATTCAGTACTCGTTGCTTTGTTTCTTTCGAGTTTTTCTGTTTCTTAATGCTCTGCTTAGCTTTTGGAAGGCATCTTTCCCTATCCCAATGCGCATTCGGATTTCACTTTCCGTCTCCTTTTAAAACATTTCCTAGACATTTAAATTTTTGTACTTGTTTGATTTTGGTATCTCCGATTTATAATTTGCACTTTACTCTGTCCCTTTTGCTAACACACATTCAGGCTTCCTGCAATTAAATAAGGCTTTCTTTCTAATAAAGGATTCTCTATCTTTTAATATAATTGTTAAAAGATACCTGATTTGAGAATCATTGCCCTCATTAAATCCTATTTAATTGAAATATCTGGGTAGGAGTTCACACAAAGAAATGATTAAAGATATCTTACTGGAAGTCTCCGAGGTTTTTATAAAACTATTGGACTCTGAGCAATAAGAATGTATTTAGCTCTAGGTTGAAATGATGATTTCTCTTGCTGTTGTGAACTCCTGATCCAGTTTTCCTCTCTGCTCTTTTTTTTTTTTTTTAAAAAAAAAAAAAAACAACTTATTTACCGTTCTCTTGGTGGTTCTTGAATA